TTGACCTCTGAGATCTAGCATGGCTCAAAGTTGGCGAGTTCGGCGATCTCCGCCCACCGATCGTCTGATCACTCGCCGTAGTACAATAGGTGGCGAGTGATTAGATAGCTGAGAGAGCGTAGGGTTGAAGAGGGCAAAGCGATGAGAGTCCATCAATGCTCAAATCAACGGACAAGGAAGGGGTCCCATTTCTCCGGTTCTGGGCCGTTTTTCGTGGTTTCGCTTTCTTTCTGGTACTACTCACCATCTCTACCTCAATTTGGAATGGGTTGCTTTTCCATCGTAAATTCGTCCTTTAAGGTGCATACTGCTTGTTTTTATTAGACCACTGACCCAGTTCCGCTTGCGTTAAAATATGCTGGAACTGGCCAGTCGAGGAGGCACGGCGAGACCACGGGATTATAATGGACGATATTAGATCGTGTTTATAGTTGAATATAGTGCTCAGGACATGAACATGCAAAATGCACTGGCCTTAACAACCTCATCATGAATGCTGCCAGACCTCTCCAGTTTCGCTTAAAGTCGCTAGCAGAGAGAAATACGCGTGGATAATTCTGGAAAGCCGAACGGAATATATTGTCTCAAATCCGTACACATTCAAATTTTCTCGATGTTCGGATAATTTAAGTGAAGAGAGGATAAAAAATTTAAATGCAGCAGTCTCAAAAGCGAAAATATATATGCCTATTTACATTAAGTAAGGGGAAACTATCATGTTATTACATCCCATATTCAGAACTCCATGAAGATTAGCGGTTTAATGGAGCTTAGCGATTTTCTTATTAGTGCATGATGAAATAACAATACATGGCTAAAGGCTTGTTTTGAGTTCGTTTTCAAGTCATTCTAATGAATAAGCTAGGCGTCAATGCAATACAAATGTGCACCTAACCACTACAGAATAGAATTTGCAAGTAGGAACGTTATGTCAACGCAAGCTGCATAACGGGATTGACGACCTTGTGTTCTGACGCGCCTTATCAGCCCTTATCAGTTGTAATCACTTTCAAGTCATCCACAACGATGTCCCCGTCCCATCCCACATAACACTTGTCAGAATGGATGCTCCAGTGTCAACGCGAGCTGCGTAGCTGAGTTGACGACACTTGCTTTCTAGCCCCCCCCTTATCAGCTCTTATCAACCATTATCAATTTCATATCACTCACCATTTGTGCCCCATCCACCCCCTATAACATATGTAAGAACCATGGCGCTATCATTGCTGTGACCCGAGCTATGAATTTCCGGTCAAACATACACACAAACACACACACACCAACAGACACACTTAGCCGGCTATATATAGTAGCAGGATGGTTGGTCTGTCCAGATTCCTACTCAATGAGATCGGGTAGAGGGGTAGAGCATCAAGATTGTCGGCAAAGGGGGTAGTTGGAGCATGGACTATTCCCGAAGAAAACCTTTCCTGAGGGGAGTGAAGCACCAGTGCATCGTGGATCAAGGGAGCGTGCCTTCGTTATTTTTCAGGGCCGGGTCAGCAGTACCTAGTTCTAGGGGATCGGTCCCTAAAACGTAGAGTTTTGGGTAACCATCCCGGGCCGGGTTCCTCTTGTATTCTTCTATGTAGCCTGGTGCGTGGAAGTGGTGAAGAAGGAAGAAGGCTGAGTTCTGAAAGAACTGGAAAGAAGCTTATCATCTCTAGACTCATCCCCCTGTTCTTGACCATGTATGATGCGTCATCAATCGGACGGTCGTGTTCTGCTGCACACGGCCCCCTTGGTCCTCTATGTAGCCTGGTGCGTGGAATTCGTGAAGAAGGAAGCAGGCTTAGTTCTGAAGAAATTGGAAACCTAGCTAGAGAAAGCACCGAGCAAATGAGGTGGCTAGCTTATCGGTTAGGTAAGGTTTCTGTATTGCAAGACATGTTGGAGAGCTTCAATACCTCTGAAAAGATTTTCATAGCAGTAAGCGTAAAAAGGTTCAGAAATTACGTGCCGACCTAATATTCCGTTTTGCTACCAAACCGCAACGCGGACGCACGCGACAGCACTCGTCCACCACGTTTGCGCTTTGGAGCCATCGTACTGATCTTTATGGTAATACTCGTAACTTATAGCAATAGGGTTGAAAAACATTTTCCAAATACGTGTACTGGTAATAGTAGAGATGAAGAAATTTACAAAGGTATCATGATTGCTAGATAGTGTTTGAAATTTGTAGATCAATTGAGCAAAAAATTTTCTCTACGGTTTTCTAGTAAGACATCGATTTGTCCTATAAGCTGTGAAAGTGTCGTCTGCACAGGCTCGTGACCACTTTGGCCTCGCACGATCCAGCTTTTTCCTCACGTCGAGTTGCCTATGTCCCAACTCCTTCCGGGG